GCACAAATATAATACAAAAGCAGTCATTTTAACAGCACAATGTCATTTGATTTCTTTATTAGAAGTAACAGAATTATCTTATTTATATTTTTGTTTCAGGTTTTCTCTTTTTTTCACAAATGCCACCATCACCTTTCCTTGCAGGTCCTGCTCCACCACAAAAGCTCTGCAGCAAATGCACAAGAATCAAGAATCAGAAAAGTTCTGTGATAACTTTGTTTGATATTACAAGAATTAAAATAAACCTCAACTTAAGATTTAAAAGATGTTTTATTCATTTCTGTAGTATACTCACTCAAAGCCTTTGATGGCAGCATTCCGCTTTGTGGTGAAGAGGGCTTCATTAGCCGCTCTCCACCGGATAAGCAAACGTGTGTGCTCATCTGTCCCTGTAACATCTAGACAAGAGTCAAGTTACCTCTGAGATTTGTGTGCTCAAAACTACATTAACATTTTGAGGTAGTTGATGATGTGTTAAGTAGCTTTTTATCCAACACAAATGTTCCTCAATTTTTCAACAGTACTAATGGACAAATAAAATAGATTACTTATATTTAGTTACTTTATGGAAATGTATTTACATTACTTACATTCATCTATTGCAAACAGTGCTGACAACAGTGAATTGTACTACACAATAACACACATATACATCACTCAGATACCTACTTCTAGGCCCTATTAGACATACTTCTATGAAATTCATATAGAAGATTTTCCTACCAGATATTAAATAGACATTTCGTAATCGTATTTAAGATGTATATGGTTTAAAATGTATGTAAATCTACTTTGGAGATGTACGTGTGCTTCCTGGAGCCCCCGTTAGCTATACATAATAAAACGAGTTTTTACAGCAACATCACAACTATACTATACCATTTGGCATCTTTACACTTTCAACAATTTGCTCTAAAGTAGTTCAACAAATAAGGAACCGTGTTTTTGATTTGTAATATGTACATTTGTAAACACCCTCATCCAAATGTTCTGCCATGATCGATTATGATGCATCCTCTTCTTCCTCTTCTTCTTCTTCTTCTTTATGATGTATCCTCTCGCGTGGCCTCCTGGGATAGAAAAGTATCCATCGATGAGCACTCAAGAAGCTGGGCAGAATCAGTAAGACATCCGGGAACTTCTCGACTACTCTTTTATGAATACTAAGGATTATTCCTTAGTATACTTATTCGCTTGGCTACTGCTTTTCCCCTACTATATAGTAGAGAAGTAGGCGGTTTCAGACGCACTTTAACTAGACGCATGTCCGAATCTCGCGAGAATTAGTACGTCACCCAGGTAATTCTCGCCTACTCTTTTATGAATACTAAGGATTCGGACATACTTATTCGCTCGCCTACTGCTTTTCACCTAATATATAGTAGAGAAGTAGGCGGTTTCGGACGCAGACAGGCACTTGCTTCATTCTTGAATGAATCAGCCATCTGAACGAATCGTTCGAAGGCTTGCTTCAACCATAGACTGTAGGCTTCAATTTATTAATTAAGACAGTCACTTGGTGCGACCTACTGGCGGTGTACTTTCATAGTAGCTACCTTTGCATTTTTTCCAACATTTCATATTTGTATATATTTTTTCTTTTTTAAACACCAAGCTTACAACATTATTTATGCTGTTATAAATTTGCAGTCTAAATGCATTTGTGCTATATTTCAGCTACATTGAACTGTCTGTGTAAATGCATCGGAATGCCACTCCAGTCAGTTTCTTCTGCAGTGGAAAGATCGGTTTTGTTAATACTGATTTCATTTGATTGGTAACAGCCATTGTCTTATTATATTAAGTGAAATTCTTAATAAAATGTAAGAATTTGATTTGAAAGATGACGCATGCATTTAATACAGTTAGGGGGAAATGCCCTTTAAATAGGCCAAAAATGACCTGGAAATCAATTTAAATACATTTTTGTATACAGTATTAAGTCATATAAAACGTAATTTTCCAACAATAAAATTGTGGCTAGTGAAAATCCTGAGTGGCTAGTAAATTTGGGAAACAACTAGCTACAGTGGCTGGTGAGCAAAAAAAGTTAATGTCAAGCCCTGCATGTGACACTGAATATTGGAGTAATGGCTCCCGAAAATTCAGCTTTGCCGTTACAGAAATAAATTACATATTTAAATTAGGGCTGGACAATAATTCAATATCAATATGTATCGCAATATAATTTTTTTCAATAACGGTGATATGATTTTTAAACACATTTCCGATATTTCGATATAACCTACATTACCAGTGTTTCCCATACATTGATTTATTTTTGGCGTTTGACTTAGTTGAATAAACACGAACACTGCACGTCGTGGGTGTTAGGATTACAATCAGCCAAAAATTAGACAGCTGTTAGTATGACAGTATTTACACAACTATCAATACTTAGTCGGGCAGCCCTTAGCCTTAATGACAGCCTGTAGTTTCCTGGGCATGCTGTCATCCAGCTTCATGCAAACCTCAACTTAATTTTTTTTCCCAGATTGATTTATTATAATTTTTAGACCCAAATTTGTATCAATTTTACTGGTAGTCCACTGTATGAAGAATTTTTGGGTATAATTTATCACAGTTTACTTTATTTTGCTATCCTCACTTACATAAATGAACTATAGTGTCCTGCACCCACTAGTAAAAAAAATATCAAAAATTATATCTGGACTCTGATTCATTTTTGGTTTGACTGTATATCCTTCGGTTATTTTCACACTTAATTATGCCCATTAAATTGTATTTTACAAGTTTTTGTTACTTTCACTGTTAATTTTTTTGCTCTATGGTACATCGTCTTGTGTATGCATCACATGTCTATCAAACATACAAAAATGTATGTGTACACCTTACAGTATATGTTAATATCTACAAATACTGATTCAATCATTTTGCTTTTATGCAATACCTTTTCTACTTGAGTGTCCTAAAATTGGGGGGTATTTCTGTATTCTAAACAGCTGACTTCTGCTAGTACTTTGGGATCCAAGAGGCTGTCAGTAACACTCTTTAGGGTTTCTCCTCTCCATTCCTGTTTAGTTCTCAGACATGAAGCCACAGGTCTCTGAGATGCATCAAAGAACTGTCTGAGACTC